TTTATCAATAGAACAAAAAATTGACAACTAGATTATAATTAATATTAATATAGCAAAAAACAAATAGAACAATAGAATAGAACAATAGAATTTAGAATATGAATATAATTTTTATCAATAGAACAAAAAATTGACAACACTGGTTACTACATATGTAACATAAATTAAAATTACGAATTCCACACACACTTATCGTCATTAAAATGCACTTCATCTAGTTCGATTTCTAATAAAACCTTCAAAACGGCCTCTCCAGCAATCCTTACTAAATCATTCAACTTTTCCGGATCAATAATTTCGTTTGTTTTACGATCCGTGATTACTACCATAGTTGCAGCTGCTCTAATGCTATTTCTTAAATTAACTCCTTTTTGAGTCATTAAGGTGTTACTGGCTGTTATCTTTTGTTCACACACTTCTTTTAGTTCATTACTAACTTTGCGTTGAGAACAATATGGAGCATCTGTACTGCATTTTGCTAAGTAAAAAAGCATAAAAGTTTCCATTTCTAATGATTCCACATCCGGATATTTAGTACAAATAGATTTGAATAGTTCTTTATTGTTATCTACGAAATTTTCGTCAAGTCTACCTTGCGAAGAATAAAAACTATCACATGTTGCATTTAGACCCTGAAATATTTGATTATCATGAATTCCAGAATTTAATAGTTGTTTTCGAATCTTTAGTAATAAGGAAATCATTATTCTTTTGTTAATAATAATAATAGTTACGCGTTTTTACAAAGAAAAAAAAAGTGATTACCAAAGTGCAAATTTCCTTATCTCCATAGATCACCTTTGATATAATGTACGGCTGTTCTTTCGTCTTTATTTCATGGTCTTGAACTACTATCTCCTTACTTTCAAAAGTTGGATAATCATAATTTTTTGTAACTGCGAAAGAACCTTCCGGTATGACTACATCACCGACAGTAGCCTTACCGATGGTGCCACATGTCCCAAATCTTATTATAATCATAGAACCATCTACTACCGCTCTGGCTTCGCGAACAAAAAAGTCCATCATTGATAAACCCTTGTTTTTTTTTAAAAAAAAAAATGACACAATCATAATTTCATAAGTATAATTACTGTATCGTTATTGGATATTACTAACTTGCCACCTGGTTAACATAACCACCTCTTATTATAACTCAAAACACCTTAAATTTTAACTCTTTTTTAAATGTTAATTTTAAATTTTGAATAAAAATTTATAAGTTATGGGTGGTTAAAATTTATAATTTTACCAGGGGCTAAAGTTAGTTAAATTCATTATTATTTAACGTTAAAAAACGTACCATACCAATTCCAACAATGCTAACAGGAACTCCCTTATACTTTCCGGTGATTGTTAAGAATCCCCGATGACTTTCTCGCTGAAATATTGGCGTGTCCGCGTCCAGCCATCTTGAAAATAACTTTGCCCTGTTCAGATCACCCACTGTGATTATCCTATTTGCAACTTTAAAAAAAAGTTATAATAAAAGTAATGAACCGAGATCGCTATAAAATAAGTTATGTACTTTCGCCTCTTTTGATTCCAACGTGATAAACTTGACCTTCAGCGGTTTTTGGAAAATTAGCATTTAATAATTTCTCTTCCATGTATTTTTATTTTATCTTGTTTACCAATTTTATTTATTTAGAAGAAAAAAACTACAAATTTGTGAAATGGTTTACTTTCATCAACGAACGTTATGTTTTTAAAAAAAACAGACGATTCGAGTATGTATGGATAAAACAGCAGATTAAATTATCGAATTCAATTGTACGTACGTACGTCCGTATGTAGAACTCATTCAAATGGGTATATAGTAAAGTAGTACGGTACGGAAACGTAAATTAGGACGGACGTGTAGAAATTATGATAGTACGTACGGTTTGTAAAAGAAAAAAGTCGTAAAACCCAAATTACTTTTCCTATAATCCTAACATGAAAAAAGGACAATACTAGCGCTCACCCTAACCCTAACCATCAAAAAGGGCTATTTATAAAAATTGAAACTTGCAAGTCTATATTAAGTACGATCAAAATTTGGTATAATTTTCGTTTGTCCGTCCAAATTTGTACTGCCGTACAGTACTACTTTACTAAATACCTCATTCAAATTGTCAAAAAAAGAAATATGTATGTACATACGTACGTACGTACGTACGTATAATACATTGTTTGGTTTACACGAAACCAGCCAAAATCATATGAGATTTTTTTTTTTTGGCACAGATATGCACTTAGCAGACCGTTTATAACGACAACGATCAACGATCAACGATATCGTAGGGTGCAAGAAATATACGTAGAGTTAACGTATTAATCAAGCAGTACATTGCAATCAAATATTTCTTATCTTAAATTATCGACTTCAATAAAGTATTTTACGTATACTATTGAAATTAATTGGTAAGTTTTGATTTCAGTGTGTTTCTTTCAACTTTTATTTAAGTCTTCCTCTTTTGATAAACTTGCCAATCGTTTGGATAACATCCCAACACCAAAAAAAATAAGAATCACTCCCATTATAAACATTACATATTTTTTGATGCTGTAACTTTTAAATTCATCATAATAAATACCTAATGTTAAAAATTCAATGAATTTTTTTTTTTTTTTGAATTTTAAAATTAAATTTACATTTTTTTTTTTTTATAAATTACATACCTCCACCAATAATATCAAAAATAGTCCAATTACAGAAAAATATAGGAACTTGAACTAGGGCATCATATTTTCTTAGCCCCATATTCAACCAATACACTTGCCCAAATGCTGTTACCACAGTTATAATTAAGATTATCCAGGAAGAAAAATCTTTGAATTGGTTATTATTGTGAAATAATGATTCTGATAACAAATTTATTAAAGACTGATTTATAAAATATAGTTTGAGATTGAGTGAAATAAATAAAAAGAACAATAGTGTTAAATAGAGATTGGAATCGAATCTTTAATTCACTGAATATTCGAATTAATTCGATGTAAAATTATGTTCGAATTAAATTCGAATATTCATGCATAAATATACGTGAAAAATGGATGTTATATAAGGTACGTACGTACATACGTAGCCGTTATATATGCAATACAATTGTTATACGTATCTACAATGTAGTCGTTAAATATACTGTATGCAATACACTGTAATTTAGCTATTATAACCGTTATAACATTATAATCGTTATACCGTTATAGCCATTATAGCCGTTATAACTGTTATAACCGTTATAGCTGTTATAAAAATATTCTAACGGTCTAACCGTCATAAAACGTATTCTAACTGAGCTAACGGTTATTAACAGTTAAAATAATTTATGCGATTCAGTAGGCGAATCAATAAATTCGAATGTTATATAAATTAATATGAATTATTCGAATTAATTTGAATTCAAATTAAATAAGTTCGAATGTAAAATTAAGTTCGATTCTAATCTCTAGTGTTAAATTTTAATACATACCTTGGCAAATAAAGTAGTCATGGTAGCCATACTACTAGCTAAAATAGCATATGCGATTGGTAACAAGATTCGTTCTTTTACATCTTTTGTAGAAATTATTGTAGTTGTTGAATTCGGTTGTATGTTTTCATTATTATTTAAAATGTCTGAAACCTTATTTGATGTATCCGAAGTTTGTAATTCTATATGTAGACTTGAAGTGATCGAGTCACTGAGGTATGGAATTGAATTTAAAAAACTATTTCGTTGAGGTAAATCTTGTAGTGTTATATTTATATCGATATTATAATCGTCATCTCTCATTGACAGATCATTCTCATCAATCCTCGATGATGGTAAAATAGAATTTTTGTTTGATGCATTTTTACCGGTTTTGACCTTGTCTACAATTCTTTTTTCAACAAACAGAATAAATAGATAAAGTAAAGTTATGAAACATGCTATTATCGATAAATAGATTATAGTGCCTTTGCGTTGAAATAGTGATTTTAGGACGCATAGATCGTAATCTATACACAATAAAATAAAAATAAAATAAAATAAATCAATAAATCAACAAATAAAAATAAGTGGACGAAAAGTACCCAGTTCTTGCCATTCATTCATTCTCCTTTAGACCAACCTTGAATCGCATCACCCGGTTCGAAAGTAACCATTACACTTCCACCTACAATAATTATAACACCAATAATATCTGAACGGACTAACTTTTGTTTGTGAAGTATGGGTGCAATTAATAAATTTGTTATTAATGAGATAGCTCCTAATGGCGCTACCAAAGATTGAGGAGCGAATTTTAACGCCACGAAGTCCATCATCGTCCCACCTATGTAGATGAATAGCCCCATTACCCAGAGCTATTTCAAAAGGTAAATTGAAACTTAGGAACAAAATAATAATAAGAAATATGAATATAAATTGGAAATGTACCGGCGACACCACAATCTGTTTCCAAAACATGAGCTTTTCAACCTTTTTATACCATCTGTGAGGTGAAACTGACCTAGCACTTAGTACTGATGGATTTGAATTTAATCTTGTTAGCGTGAAGTTGGTACCTTCCGTTTCTTGAGTTTTACCAATTTTCTCTTGATATTTTGTAAATGCAAATTTTTGTACATTCAAACCAATATTCAATATGATATTTCCAGCCAAGCATATGAAAACTCCAAGAATAACCGAGTTAGATTTGGAACTATCGATATCCCACATCTCATCACATTATCTGTCGAATTAACACACTGTAGAGAATGATCACATGGATCAACGTTCGTGGCCACCAAAGAGCAATTTTCATTCAGTGGTATACCGCCGCAAAATTTTTGAGAACCTTCCAAAGTGAAATTAAGTAAATACGCAGAATTTTTCCACACATTATCACACCCGGAGTCGAGATTTTCATTGCTTGCCGCACAGAGAAAGCCAATATCATTAGGTAATTTTTGGGAATCATTATTATAGTAGTAGTAGGCAGAACAATCCGATACATCACGACATGGTTGGCCTTTTGAAGAGAAAAAAGAACAAGTTAGGTGCCTATATGACTCGTCATGAATGAGTGCAATTTAGCATCTTAATGATATACAGAAGCTATTCTTAAACATTATTCAGGATCGAAAATGAGTTTTTTTTTTTAATAAAAAAAAAAAAAACTCACCAGCAACAACAACAAATTTACACCTATTTTGCGCACATAAATAATTACCAAATACAAAAGGGTTATTTGAAGAATTAGTTAATTGACTATTACACTCAAAATCTGTTTGACATGAAAGACCTTGGATAGTATTATTTTGATCACTTTTTAAAATATTACTATATGAATAATCACCAGAATGTACATTAGATACGAATAAAATAAATATGAAAGCGAAGGATATAAATGTTTTGTCAAACACTTCAAACATGGCTTTTTATTAAAATAAATTTAATATGATTAATTTATAAATAAAGTCGATGAGGTTTTTTCAAAAGTTTTTTTATTTAAAGTTCAGTTTCAACATGTCTGAACACTGTTGTGAGCGCAGATGGATGAATAGATTAACTACGTTTCGATCAAGTACGAACGTACGTATATTTTAAACACACATGAATTTTATGTGCATGTCTTTATTTTAGTGAACCTCATGAAAAAGCCAAATATGTGGCAATGTAAAATCGTAAAAAGTAATATATACTTTGTTCACACAATGGTTTTTAGAAATTAATCAATACGTAGTTTATAGAAATTACTCAATTAAGGTTATTATTTGCAGATTCTATGTAAATCATCTTACGTACGTACGTACGTACATAGATGAAACTTAAGTTAATCCGTTAATGAGAATCACACGAAAAATATGTATACAGTACTTAACAAATATATGTTGTAAGTGAAAACTGAATTCGGAATTTATATATAAAACCCCCGTTTTGGGGTTGATTATATCATATGTACCGGTACACCCTAACCCTAACCCTAATTTATCTAGGAAATTCCAAATTCACTTAAATTCCATTCCCAACATATATAAGAAAAGAGTCACGTAAATTAAAAAGTCGATGTAGATTAGTCACGAAAATCAACTATCCCCAAAACTTCGATACTACGCAATATAGATACCGACACGTATTAGATAATCGTTGATTACTAAAATAAACAAGGAAAAGTTGGAGATTGAAACAATCTAATCATCCCTAGAAAATTTTTCTCTTACGTTATATGATTTTTTTTTTTTTTTAGTAAATGCCCAGATCTTGAATTCTGACTAATCCGAAATCTTTGAAGTACCCCTAATTAAAAAAAAACAGTATGGAAATATGAAGAATCGTGGAATAAATCAGTTATTGTTCGCTTCGCAGGCAATAGCAATAATATATTGCTTTAGTATCCATTATTTGTCTCTCAATTGATTTTCTTGTTAATTTTACTATCATCAAAGATTTAATTTTCTTCGACAATATATTCTCTTTTTCATGTTTGTTCTTTTTATATTTCATCTTAAGAACTTTAGCCAAAAATTTAAAATGTTATATAACATATGCAAGTATATTTTAAAATCATCTAATGTTGTCGGGTGCACTAAATATTCGTGACATTTAGGGTTGTATAAATTTAATAATTTGTTTCTCATAATTCAGCGGCTCAAGTTTTGCAAAGATTCAAAAATTTTTTAAAAGTCGGGTTGTGTCATCTTTAAAACTTTATTATATGTGCACCCGGTAGATCTAAAATCCAGAAATCATGCGTAGCATTTTCAAGCTTACATGATTTTTATTTAAAATTTTAATTTTTTTTAATATAACTTATAGATAGAATTTCACTAAAAATATAAAAAATTATCTAAATAATTTTTATATACAAAAATTTGATAATTTTTTTTTGAGATTTACTAACCACCAGCCTAGCTGATTTTATTAAAAATCAGCCTATCGTATAAATTATAAAATTAAAGTACCC